TGAGTTTTTTCCCCCCCAGGAATGAGAGGGCTGATTAAGCCTTCTAACTCAAACTACTTCACCACCACCCTTGTGGTATAAATATATACAAGAAGGTATTCTATGTGTACTTTCTCAGCACACAGAATCTTTAACAAGATAGATAATTAAAGAGTTGAGATTTAATGAATTTAGGACTTCATCAAGGATATTCTATTCTTTGGTAGTACTGGGGTTTGAACCCAGGACCTTGTTTACTAGGTAGGCACTCTACCACTTGAGTGTCCCTAGCCCTTTTTTGCTTTATAGTTAGTTTTTAAGTAGATCTGGTGATCTCCTATCCCCAGGGACAGCCTCAGACCATGATCCTCATACCGATGGCCTCTCTGGTAGGTGGGATCACTGGCCTGAGCTACCATTCCTAGCTTATTGAGATGAGGGTCTCACCAACTCTTTACCTGGGCTAGCCTTTAACCATGTTCCTTCCCTTTTCTTCCTGAGTAGCTGAGATTACAGGTGTGATCCACTGATCCCACCAAAGACATTCTTAAGCAAAACCTTTTTGTCTTTTAAATTCCCAATATAGTGCCATGGCCTTGATGCTTACTATAAAACAAACAGTTTCACCTAGAACAGTTTTTGCATCATCAGTGCAAAAGTCAACACAGTGAGAAAGACAAATGTCTTACCATTCGTATTTGTTAGTGTGATGAAACACCTGATATAATCAGCTAACAAGGAGGAAGGGTTTAAGTTTCTGTCAACGGTCATCTGGCCTGTGGTGAGGCAGTACATTATGGCGGGAGCATGTGGCAGAGGAGAGCTGCTCATCTCATGGTGGCCAGGAAGCAAAGAGGTGTTGGGAAGAAGGGGTTGGAGTTCTAATATTCTTATCAAGGGCACAGCCCTCAACTAGGCCCCACTCTCCAGTAGTTCCACGGGACTTTGGGAGTGGATCTGAGACCCAAACTCAACTGCATTATTCAGAAACCTGTGATCATTGCATGGGCCTTGGACTTTTCACTTGGCTTTTTTGTTCAAGGTGACACTCTACAAGCTGAGCTACACTTCTACTTCTTCAAGGTGACACTCTACAAGCTGAGCTACACTTCTACTTCTTGCTTTTTGCTGGAAAATTAGAGATAAGGGTCTCATGGATTTTCCTGCCTGGGCTGGCTCTGAACCATGATCCCTGGATCTCAGCCTCTCGAGTAGCTAGGATTACAAGGCATGAGCCACCAACTCCCAGCTTCCAACTTTATTTCTAAGCATCTGTTTTAAAGTAATTTAACCACTCTCATTTGTGCTTCTGTACATCTAGCTCCATCACAGTGAGAGCAGAGGAGCTACTACCATCTTTTAGCACCCACTATGCCACAGTCTGTGTGCTATGCCTATTTTATGCCTTCTCGTGAAATCTTCAAATTAAGTCTGTATGCTAGGCGTCATTGTAACCCAACTAGTCGAAGCTAAAGTTAAACTTAACTTTACAATTTCAGCAATGTCTTTCCTTGCTACCTGTTCTAATGTCGTCTGGCATATATTCGGGTTCTGTCTTCTGAATAATCAAATAAATGATGGTATTCCATCCTGCTCATCTTTCAGGGGCCTGCCTGGGTCTGGCCTTCAGTGCAGGAGTTGTTCATTCTTCATTCCTTACAGACAGCTTAGATTCAGAATCTTCATTTACTCATAGTAAAATTGTATTTTCATTTCTGTCAGCAGTGTGCCCCTAGCCGTGGGATGGTATCTTAATGTGCGCACTGCCATCAAGCCAGAAACACAAATGTTGACATTTGATTGTAATGCTTTTTCCCTCTAAGTTGCTTCAAGTAAATACCAATGGTGTGCCCAAGTAAAGGAGGCAATTATTTAAGAAGCAAATGGTGTATGTTTTTCAATATGCATATTCATGTCCTAAACTTTACACAATGTTAAAAATAACCTAATGAATACTACTTTTTCTACTTGCTTGGGGACAGTATGAAATGAGAAAATTTTCGGTGGTATTGGGGCTTGAACTCAGGGCCTAGGGCTTGCTAGCTAGCTAGCTAGTCTGTGGCTTGAGCCATGGTTTGAGCACTTTTTTCCTTCATTGATTGATTTTTCTGACAGGGTCTTGCTTTTTCTCCAGGGCCAGGCCTTGGACAGCAGTCATCCTACCTTTGCCTGTATAGCAGGGTTTATGGATGTGAACCTCCATGCCTGGTTTGCTTATTGAGAGAAGGTTTGTGTTTTGGCCTAGGCTGACCTCAAACTTTCCAACTCTACCTCCCAAATACAGTTCTATGCCACCATACCCGATCCTCAGATTTCAGCCTCCCGTGTAGCCTTTAACGACAGCTTAATACCTCTGACGAGGCTTTCCCTGGACTCCAGCATGTATCTTTAGGCTGGCGTGAGTTCAGTGGCTCTGAAGTGTGGTCTGAACTCAGTCAGTGGCAGTTATTGGAAGTGTAAAGTACCAGCACTGAGAACTGCTGGGCTGGAAACTCCGGGAGTGCTGCCATCTGCCTTATCATCCCTCCAGAGTGCCCAGCGGTGGTGTGTGGCTGTGTGGGGTTACTGTAAGGAAAGCCATGGGGATAGGGGTGTGGTTCAAGTGGAGAGCACCTGCCTAGTGAGTCCCTGAGCTCAAGCCCATCACTGGGGGAAATGGGGGGGGGGGAGAGAAACAAAAACCAAAACATGAAATAGAAAATAGGTAATGGTGGCTCATGCCTACAACCTTAGGCACTAAGGAGGCTGAGATCTGAGGATCATGGTTCAAAGGTAGTCTGGGCAGGAAAGTCTTTGAGGTTCTCATCTCCAATTATTCAGCAAAAAAACCAGTAGAGTGTGGCTCAAGTGGTAGGGCACCAGCCTAAAGTGAAAAAGCCAAGCAAGAAGGAGAGGCCTTGAGTTCAGGCCTCAGTATCAACAACAACAACAAAAGAAGAAAGAAAGAAAGAAAGAAAGAAAGAAAGAAAGAAAGAAAGAAAGAAAGAAAGGAAGAAAGAAAGAAAGGAAGAAAGAAAGAAAGAAGGAAGGAAGAAAGGAAGAAAAGGAGGAGGAAGGAAAGGAAGAAAAGGAGGAGGAAGGAAGGAAGGAAGGAAGGAAAAGAAAAGAAAACTGGAAAGCATGACTGGTCCAAGTATAACCCAATCTGTGAAAATACAAATATCTGGCAAGGGGGCTGCCCTCAAGCCCCCACACAGTGGTATTAGGCCAAAGGACAGTTGTTGAATCATTCATTCACTCATTTATTCATTCAGAAGAGAGGCTGAATCATTGATTCTTCCAGGGTGTGGATAAATCTACCACAGCCATACCCACATGGCATAAAGCCATGTATTGATCTGCAGGCACTATCTGCCAGCCCTCCCCAGGTAGCTCCTGCTGTCTCAAATTGCCTCTTTGCGAAATACAACAGTAACCAGCAATACATGCATTTTATGACTCCTTGAGTAGGACAGTCTATCACTGAGTACGCAAACACCGAATACAGCATTCAGCATTCAACCACCAATAAGACTACTCTTCTAGGAATGTATTACTGCTATTCCAGTTGCTTTGCAACTGCACTGATTTAAGGAAAACAGGACATGGCTAGAACTTGACAACTATTTGGTGGCTCATTTTCTTAAAGAGCATGTATAAAACTTCATGGCATTTTGTTAGGGAGACTGAAGGTATCAAGTGTTCACACATGTTTATTTATACTTGGTTAAAGAAAAACTGGCAAGAGAATCTTCCCCATTAAGCAGAGGTTGTTTTGTCTTTGTCAGAGAGAACCAGGCTGGGCAGAGAAGGAAGGTTCACTGCTAAGTCAGGAGGGAAGATGGCTCAAAATTGGACCACAGTACTCAGGACATAGAGTCAGGTGCCAGTGCTCAAGCCAGTAATTCTAGCTACTCAGGAGGCTGAAATCTGATATTGAGGTTTAAAGGCCTGTGTGGCAGAAAAGTCTAGGACTCTTATCTCTATTTCACTAGCTAAAGGCTGGGGTGTGAGGTGGATGTTAGTGGCTTATGCTATAATCCTAGCTACTCAAAAGGCTGAGATCTTGGAATCAAGGTTCAAAGCCAGTCTAGGCAGACAAATGAGAGACATTTATCTACAATTAACCATCCAAGAGCCAGAACTGGAGGTGTGGCTCAAGTGTTAGAGAGCCAGCCTGCAACAGGAAAAGCCAAGTGAGGGCTTGAGGCCAAATTCAAGCCCCAATATCAGCAAACACACACACACACACACACACACACACACACACACACACACACACATGAAAAGGCTTCTTATTCTATGTTAAACATCTATAGGACTGGGAATGTGGCTTAGTGGTAGAGTACTTACTTATCATGCATGAAACCCTGGGTTCGATTCCTCAGTACCACATACTCATAAAAAGCCAGAAGTGGCATTGTGGCTCAAGTGGCAGAGTACTAGCCTTGAGCAAAAGAAGCTCAGGGACAGTTCCCAGGCCCTGAGTTCAAAGCCCCAGGACTAGAACAAAAAAATCTATAAAGTGCTCCTTGCTCCCCACTTTTTCACTACACTTGAAAGGAGGCCAGGAGAGAATAACATAAAACCAAACACTGCTTCCAAATAAAGTAATTGCATTAAGGGGATAACACTTTCGTAACAGCCCCAAAGAACTGCTTAAAGACTCTGATTTCCTTTGCAGTGAGGAGAGAGCATTCAGTTGCTGCTGCTTCTCCTCACGCCAGCACAGAACTGCACAGAACCGTGACAGCAATGGATTGCTGCTGCTCCAGCGGGATGGGCTTGCTTTGCTATGGTAAAGCTTGTCTGTATTCACCAGCATGCAGCCGGCTCCCTTAGCTAGAGAGCCAGGGCCATAAACTTTGTTCAGTGCAATCGGATGGCTCCGGTACTATTCTAAACTGGGATTGCATTCTCCAGATAGATGATGGCCCGCAGAAATGGCTCTTGTGCAATCATCAAAGATGTTAAATAAAATTTAGCACCTAAAAGCGTGTTAAGAAAAATTCCCCGTCTCCTTACCAGGGTGCTCTACGTACCTGGGGCCTGTTCCTGGGATCTGTGGTGGCGAATGGACGTTCTTCTTCTCGGGTCCCCCGGCTTCTACCTCCTCCGCTCTTCCCCTCGCGGCCGTGGCCGCCTGGTCCCCGCTGAGCTGGCCTTGGGCCGGGTCACACCGGTACATGAAGACGATGGCGGGCTTCTCGCTGGCCTGGCCGCGGGCCTCGGTGAACCAGTGGTGGCGCTGCACGGGCGGCGGCGGCAGCATGTGGATGACCGTGCCGTCCAGGCCCACCAGCTTCCCTTTCTCGCGCTCTTTCTCTCTGTCGTCCTCCTCGTCCGTTTTCCGACGGCGGAAGAAGCTTTTAAAAGATATCCAGCGTTTGGGCTTGGCGTCCGCCGCCCGCCGGCTGCTCTCCGGGTGCAGGACGGCCTCGGCCTCGGTGGCCCGGGCGGGGCCGGAGGGCCTGGTCCAGTTGGTGAAGTGGCGCTGCAGCAGGCTGCCGGCGTGGTAGGGGGAGGAGGTGGAGCGCGGCGGCGGGAAGGGCGGCGAGGGCGCGCCCGGGGGGCTGGCCCGCAGCGCGGCGCGGGGGGACGCGGCCGGCTTCGCCAGGGGCTCCTTCTGCGCTCTGGCGGGTGGGCTGTCTGCGGCCGGAGGGGCCTCGGCCTCTCCGCCGGGCGGAGGCGTAAAGAGAGACTTGGGCCTGGCGGGTGCGGGCTCGGCGTCGGGGGGCACGGCGTACAGCTCTTCGGCGCTGCAGGTCTTGGGGCCCGGTGGGGCGGCCTCGGGGGGGCCCTGGGGCGGCTGGACGGCAGCCGCCGTCGGGGAGGGCGCGGCGCTCGCCTGCTCCCTGGCCGCGGCCGGCTGACACTCGGGGGCGGCCTCGGTTTTGGCCGCGAGCTCGGGCGGGGGCCTCGGGATCTTGGCCGGGGAGCTGTGGCTGGAGCTGTAGCTCCTCTGCGGGGACGACTGGCCTCTGCTGAGGCAGCTGTTAAACTCCAGAACTTTCTGCGCCACGGCGCCCCGCGGGCGCCCCGCGCCGCCGGAAGCCCCCTTCTCCTGGGCGCCGTCGGCGGCTCGGCCCGCGGCCGCCTCCGAGGCTTTGCTCCCGGTTTCGATCTCTTCGTAGGTGTGGCTTATCACGCTCGTGGTTTTCTCCTTCACCGACAGCTCGGCGCTGGTCCCCAGGAAGCTCCTGTAGACGGCCAGGTTGTCGTAGGCGCTGGGGTTAATGACGATGGGGACTTTGATGGCGTTTTTGGAGCTCCGCGCGTAGCTCGGCTCGTCGTGAATGATGATCGGGAAGGGCGGCATCCCCGCGTTGTTGTAGCTATTGAATTTTATTTCGGACAGGTTGGGCGACTTGACCGGGATGGTTTTGGAGGCGACGTTGGTGGCGGTGGGTGAGGTGGGCGCCGACTTGTGGCAGCTCTTCCTCGGGGGCGCGTCGGGCCCGGGCCCGCCCGGCGCCAGCCCGGCCTTCGGGATCTTCTGCCGGGGACTGGTGCTGGAGGTCCACACCTCCTGGTACCGGATCGCGCTGGATTTTGGGAAACGCGCGCTGACCGGCCCCGGGGTCAGCGTGGGCGACGTGACCGGGGAGCTGGGGGTGGAGGCGGGGCCGGCGGCCCGGGCGCTGCCCGCGGGGCCGTCCAGGCGCTCGCCCGCCATGGCCGCCGACACGTCCACCACCGTGTACGGCTTGCACAGCGGCTGCTCCAGGTTCACCACGCGGTACGGCTTCGCCTGCTCCTCCACCGGAACCAGGCTGATGGTCACCGCCTGCCCGGCGATCTCTTTGGAGACTTTACTTTCTTGCTTGTCCGTCTGCACGGCAATCTTTCCGTCCTTCTCTTCCAGCCGGAGCGCCAGGACGGCTTTGTGAGTCTCCGGAGCTTTGGCGGAGCCCTTGGAAGCCCGGGACGCGTCCTTCTCCTGGCCAGCGGGGCCGGCAGGGCCGGGCTCGGCCTCCGTGCCGTCCCTGCCCGGCCCCGGCCGCTCGGGGACCGGCTCCCCGTTGCACAGCCTCGGGGACGCGCTGCTGGCCGTCTCGGGGCGCGACTCCCCGGTGAGGGAGGACTCGGGCGAGGTGGAGCTGGACGAGCCCATGCTCTGCACGCTGCCCTGGCCGGAGGAGGCCCCGGAGCTGTCCTCGTAGCCGTTCAGGATCTCGTCGTAGCTGTCGTCGTAGTCCACGGCGCAGACGCGCTGCAGGGACTTGTGCCGCAGGGGCACCGTGTTCCACTTCTTGCCCACGCAGAGCCGCACGGGCGACAGCGTGTGGGCCCTGAAGTTGGCGAAGCGCGGCTGGCCGCGCATGCGGATCTCCATGGCCAGCAGCTCCTCGTCGCTCTCGCCCCAGCTCTCGTCGGCCTCCTCGGGGCGGCCCGGGCGCGCGTCCTCGTCGCTCTCCTCCCCGCTGGACGGCTCGGGGTAGCAGAAGCGGCCCCCCT